TACAGAAGTTTATATATATACTAGCTTTTGCCCGCGGCTTCGCTCGCATTAATTTATCCCCTTAGGGGTGGAATTTATCGAAATCCTTTCTTAGGGGATGTCTACGTCATAGTAGTTTTATGCATGCAAAGTCTCAGCCCGATCGGTTTCAAATTGACAAAGTTTCATATAAACTTTCATCCCCTATTTTATTATTATATATTATGACGGGAAAAGTCCCGTCAAAATAAGGAGTAACTTAGACTCCTTTTATTAAAACTAATCTTTTATTTTAGAAAAATAAAGTTAAATTCCACACGGACAAAGTCGCGGGAACAGCTACTTAATAATATAAACGCGAAAGTTTGTGAGTATTGATTTAATAGCCTCGGTGGTCTAGCGGTTGAGCACAACGCTTTACTTCCGATGGTCGCGGGTTCGATTTCTAGTACGGTGCAAAGATTTGTATTCATGAGTATGATTGTTTGTATCGGTCTGGGTGTTTTCTATGTATATTATGTGTGCATATACAAAAAAAAATTGTATTTATATCAGTTGTCTAGTTTCGAATATAGAAGAAAAAAATCAATTGAAAATAAGAACTAGACGAAAAAGGAAGCTCTATTGGCAAATTCACAGAAGTGCCAAGCCCTAAAAAAAAAAATAGGACGCTCAATAATTTTGACTGTTTTATAACAAGACAATTATTGATTTAATTATTACAATATAATTGTTTTTATGAAAATATACACTCTAGAGTGCGTGGCCACTAAACTGTACTACACATCGGAACGTTCCTGAGCAAAGGTAAGTTTGGTGTTACATTGCTTACTTTGTAATGGTAAGCATTTACCATCAGATTGGTCGTATGCTTGTTTGCCACTATCGTAGTACAAAAAAATGGAATAGTGCACCCGCCTGCGCTAACGGTTTACGCTGGCGATAAGATAAGATCAGCATGAGGTCAGGTCAGTTAGCCCATCGTGACAAATTCACCAATTTATCACGATGGTTTCCAGGGGGAACCGCGTGGAGGTCAACCTGACATGGTACCTTGCTAGCAATGAGATCATCAGTCCACATTACTAACATTTACCCTTACCCCTGTTATTAAACCTCGTAAGTTTTAATCGAGGCTCGCAATTAATGAGTTCTCAAGTGAAATACTGACAAAGCGGACCCTCTGTTATTAAGGTTTGAAATATTTTCAAAGCGCTCACCTACTAATTGTTATCGACACGTATTGTTTAAAACTGATTGATTACTTGAAACTGCGTACGTATAATATATATATAGCTGTACTCGCGACTTCGTCCGCGTGGAATTTAACGGAATTAGAGATTTTTTCTAAAATAAAAGTAGCCTAAGTTACTCCTTAACATCAGCTACCTGCCAATAAAAGTCCCGTCAGAATCGGTCCAGCCATTTCAGAGATTAGCCGGAACAAACCAACTATTTCAAATCAAAAATCAATATTTAAGCTTCTTATGAACGACAAGTTTTTGTATTAATTCATTTGATAAGAATGTCCAAGATACTCAATTTCCTTTTTTTACTCTTATTTTGTTACTAGCTGTGCCCGCGACTTCGTTCGCGTGTTTGTCAAAAACAAAGTTTTTTCATAACTACAGGTTCATACATATTTTTGGGTAACTTGAACCGTTTACGCAGCGCACGCAATGGAAGCCCTCAAATATGAATAATTTTCCCCGTTTTTGCGACATTTTTCACTGATACTTCGCTTCTAATAATCGTAGCGTAATGTTATATAGCTTAACCTTCCTCGACTAATGGACTACCCAACACAAACATAATTTTTCAATTCGTACCAGTAGTTCCAGAAATTAGCGCATTTAAACAAACAAACTCTTCAGCTTTATAATATTACTAGCTACTCGCCCCGGCTTCGCATGGGTGTATACGTATTATATATATATATATAAACCTTCCTCTTAAATCAGTCTATGCATTAAATAACCGCTTCAAAATCCATTGCGTAGTTTTAAAGATTTAAGCATACATTGGGACGGACAGACAGCGACAGCGACTTTGTTTTATACTATGTAATAATGATTATATAGTATAGATTACTTTTATTTATCGATTATCATATTTATTTATTTATTCAAACTTTAATGTACAAATCTATACACATAAATAAAATTGGAGTGTCTGTTTGTAATATTGAAATAACCGTTTTTTTACTACACGCATATGAATATAAATACGGTACATACACCAAAATAATATTTTTTACAATTTTTGTCTGTCTGCCCGTCTTTCTGTTTGTTCCGGCTAATTTCTGAAAAGGCTGGACCGATTTTGACAGATTTTTTTTGGCAGGTTGTTGATAGAAATAGAAATAGAAATAATCTTTATTCAAATAAACTCATTACAAGCACTTTTGAATAGTCATATTTTGATTCTACCACTCATTCGGAATGCAGATTCATCACAAGAAGAATGAGCAAGAAACTTGTGTGTTGCTCTTTTTGATAGATGTTTTTTTTATATAAATAATTACAGTGTAACAAGTAAGAGGCATGCGACAATCAACAGAAATCGCTACGCACTCATTATTAGTGTAATCAGTTAATATTGTCAGTGCTATGTATTTAAAATTTTTCAAAACAAAAACATTATTATCATTAACGAATTCTTCAATTTTATAGTAAGCTTTTTTGCAAAGGAAGTGTTTTATTTGACATTTAAATCTTTTTTCTGGCAGATTTATAACAGACTCTGGTATTTTATTGTGAAACCTTACGCAATTGCCATAAAACGAATTACTAACTTTAGCCAAACGACATTTAGGTAAAATCAGTTTGTTATTGTTACGTAAGCTTTTATTAGTGATGATGTAATAAGGATGTAATAAGGAGTAATTTAGGCTACTTTTATTTTAGAAAAATAAAGTTAAATTACACGCGGACGAAGTCACGTGTACAGCTAGTATAATATGTAAATGTGCATATGGCAAACTTAACACCTAATCCCCAATTTACACTCAGCCCGAGTGGGCAGGGAAGTGAGCAGCGCGAGAGTGTAAACACGAGTGGAAACACTTCCCTCCCTCGATTGTCGGTTTTTCGTGCGCGAGTCAAAGGACTGGCAGCGTGTTGTCGCCTGGAAATATTAGCGGCAGCGCGAGTGGCAGGGGAAGCGGCTGAATGTAAACGTAACATAAAGGGCGTTTTCTACCAGTCAACCATAAGGCAAACTAAGAAGTTGGTAAGCGTACCGTAAGTATCATATCCTCTTTATATGACCATTCCTTTCGATCTACAATCCATGACGCCAAACTGTTGACTACGTCTGAATATATAAGATTCCGCGGTACCTCCAACATGCAAAATAGGGAAATCTCATGAAAGATTACACAGAATCCCTCTCTCGGAATAAAGAGTAACTTTTTCCTAAAAAGCTAATGGCCATCGTATTTTCTTTGGGCCAAAACGATCTAGTGACTATAAAACAAAGTTGTGACTTCTCAAACAGTTGTTTTGTACTTGGTTTAACTTTGAAAATGAAATATTCGAGTCTAAGTATTGATATCGCAATATAACAAATCTTCCTTTCAGTATTGTACATTTGATATAATATTATTTTATTAATTACTCGCCCCGGCTTTGCACGGGTGTACATGTACAGCGACCTTGTTTTATACTATGTAATGATGTTACATAAAACAAATTTGACTATGGAACTTTAATAACGTTCAAACTTCAGTTTTAAATTAAGAATTGTCGAATTTCGATCACTGGGCGGCTAGGGCGGATCCAGCTCTGGCGCCAGGAGGGGGTCACATAGTCGTGGTCATGGCGCCAGGAGGGGTTACATAGTAGTGGTCATGGCGCCAGGAGGAGGTCACATAGTCGTGGTCATGGCGCCAGGAGAGAGTTACATAGTCGTGGTCATGGCGCCAGGAGGTCACAGGGCGTAAGGGCGGATCCAGCTTTGGCGCCAGGATGGGGTCACATAGTCGTGGTCATGGCGCCAGAAGGGGGTCACATAGTCGTAGTCAAGTCAAGAATTTATAATTTTATTTTGATAACAATAGATACAAGTAAAAAGTAGGTATATTAATAATGTACAAAATTATTATATTATATTAAATTAATTAAATATTGAAGGTATGTAGTTACATAGAATCTGTATGGTGTCAAAATATATAAATAAATTCATTATGTTTAATTAGTGGTCCACCTAAGTACTGGAACCATCTGAGAGGGGGGCCATGACCCCCATGACCCTGGATCCGCCGTTGCTGGGCGGGACAACTGGGTAATAATAATCCTTATTCTTACTAATATGCGAAACTAACTCTGTCTGTCTGTCTGTCTCACTTTCAAGCCAAAACCACTTAACCGATTTAAATGAAATTTGGTACACAGATAGTCTGGACCCTGAGAAAGGACATAGCCTACTTTTTAATGCAAAAAACGGGACGTAAGGGGTTGAAAAGGTATATTTATGTACAAATATATATTTATGTTCATTACCTACGCCACCTACCTTTTTTCTTATCTTTATCTTTCTTTTTTTACTTTCTCTACTCAGAGATAATCTTGAAAAGATTGCTTAACGATAAGATCGCTTTTGTATGACTTTATATATACTTGTTATTTAAATTATTCTCTGTATCTGGTACAATAAAAGTATAAATAAATATATTTTGAAATAAATCTATACATATAAATAAAATTGGAGTGTCTGTTTGTAATATGAAATAACCGTTTTTTACTACATTCATATGAACATAAATACGGTACATTAACCAAAATATATTTTTTTACAATTTTTATCTGTCTGTTTGTTCCTGCTAATCTTTGAAATGGCTGGACCGATTTTGACTGGACTTTTATTGGCAGGTAGCTAATGTAATAAGGAGTAACTTAGGCTACTTTCATTTTAGAAAAAATATTTTTTTTTAGAAAAAAAAATTACAGCTAGTAAATAATAAAATAAATAAATAAATTTCAAAAGCTATTAGATCGCTGAATATAACAAATGATACCTACCCCATAACATACCTAATACGCAACCCCATCCTGACATAGAGGCAGAGGATGATCAGGCCTGGTAGCACGAAGAATAACAGGCTGCTCAGCTCACACAGGTACCAGGAGGGGAGCTCCAGCATAGCACAGAAAGCGGACTCCAGCGACGCGTTCCCAGATCCTGTAAACATTAAATTATAACTAGCTATCCCGGCAAACATCGCTACTAAAAGGTGATAGAAGGGTGAAAATTTAGGGTAGTATCTATTTTTAATGCCACATAATAAAAATAAAAAAAATTATCCATAAAAATAGAAAATAAATGTTAGAGGTGGACAACCCTGACCACTTAGGGGTATGAAAAATAAGTATTAGCCGATTCTCAGACCTATTATAATAATAACTAATAATAACTTTATTGTGCAAAAAAACAAATACAAAAGGGACTTAAATAAGGTTATATATCTATATTAATTCATATATATACAATAGTACTTAAAACTATTTAATATCAAGTCCAGTGCAGTAGTGTCTAAACTAGGCCTAGCCTATATCAGACACCATTGCCCACTTAAAGATAACATGCTATACGATTCTTACCTATTGAATATGCATATAAAATTACATAAAAATCGGTCAAGCTGTTTTAGAGGAGTATGATAACTAACATTATGACACGAGAATCTAAATATATATATATATAACTCAAAGGTGATTGACTGACATAGTGATCTATCAACGCACAGCCCAAACCACTGGACGGATCGGGCTGAAATTTGGCATGCAGGTAGATGTTATGACGTAGGCATCCACTAGGCGATATAATAGGGGATGAAAATTTGTATAAAACTTTGTCAATTTTAAACCGATCGGGCTGAGACTTTGCATGCATAAAGCTACTATGACGTAGGCATCCTCTAAGAAAGAATTTTGATAAATTTCACCCCTAAGAGGATGAATTAACGCGAGCGAAGCCGCGGGCAAAAGCTAGTTTTATATTTGCATGTAGTAAAGACGGTTAGTTACATAGTTAGACATTACTAAACCTTTATTATTAGTAACACATTAGTAGTATCAACTACTACAATATTATACAGTTTTAATTCTATGGTAAAGAGGCGTTGTACCAAATATTAGGACCTCTTACTCATGAACCGCATGAGGGAGCAAATATTACCTTCTGACTGTATTAAATATAATAATCTTTACATATAAATTTCCTAAATGATACACGGCGCGTTTACAAAGTAGAAAGATGTGTATACTTTTGAATAAACAATGTTTCAGACATTGTTAAATAAAATACTTCAATTCAAACAAAAAAACCATCCACCCCGACCACATTTTTACACACACACACGACACCGTCCTCGCCGGCGAAGACGACGACCTCATACACATCATATCGCGCATTCAACCGGGCGCCCCCGGTCGCCCCTCCGATCGATCCCCCGTCCAATTCAAACGGGGACCGATGTTACGACGGCCTGACGGTTCGATCCCCTAGTGGTGTCCTCAGACTAAAGTCGTATCCGTCAGGCGGGAGTTGGCCGTCAGCCGCTCCATAAGTCCTTCCTTTGGTTTGGAGTGCCATCTGCACTCGCTATCGTCCGGTGAAGCTGTAAAGGCCAGCTGCGGCCAACAGCATTAAAGTAGATAATTATATCCCAACAAATATGGCGCTACGTCGTTTGAAATCTAAATATATTATTGAAGCGATATCGATTTTAGTGTCAACCATTCATAATCCGATTTGGAATTAATTCTGTAAATGTAACCTATTAACAGTATCAATCGCTTAGTAATTTCAGTCGGCGACCTCTACAACTAACGTTCTATAGTTAGGTTTACAGTGATTATATGCGATTTGGTTCAGTAATCTGACTACAGGTTTATAAATAAAAGCATAGACAATCTAGCTGACAACCCTTTTGGTCTAACATTAACAGCCTTATTTCATACCCCTGGTCTGCTCTATTCACTATGACTGATTTACTCTTATTTAGTTACTCAAGTTTGTGAGTTTAATAATAATAATAATAATCTCAAGACAATTCACACAGCGCCATCTAGACCCAAGTTAAGCTAGCTAAAGCTTGAGGTATGGGTACTAGACAACTGATACAAATACATAGATATTTTTTTTTCGTAAATACATACATAATATACATAGAAAACACCCAGACCGACACAAACAATCATACTCATGAATACAAATGTTTGTGCCGTGCGAGGAATCGAACCCGCGACCATCGGACGTAAAGCGGTGTGCTAAACCACTAGACCACCGAGGTCGTCGAAGTATCGATGTTTGTCACTCTTTCACGCAAAAACTACTGAACGGATTTTGATGCAATTTTATAGTAATATAGCTTATGCACCAGAATAACACATAGGCTATATTTTTATTGATATTTAACGCGAGTGGAACCGCAGGCACAGCTATTATTTAATATTTTCTCGATTTTAATATTTAATTGAATGAGTATATGAAAAATGAAAAATGTAAAGTAACAACTAAATGATTTAAAAAGAATATATAAGTAAGAAACTTGTGTGTTGCTCACACACAAGTTTCTTGCTCGATCTTCTTGTGATGAGACAGATTTCCGAATGAGCGGTGGAATAATAAAAATATTATGACTATTCAAAAGTGCTTAAATTAAGTTTATTTGAATAAAGGATTTTCTATTCTATTTCACTACCATATATTCTTCAATTTTTACTATATAACTTTCCAAATATCTTTTTAAAATTATAGCTACAATTTAAGATTTTTTTTAAACCCGACTTATATCGTATCATCACTCATAAATTTTATACATATAATAACATCCGATAAAAGATGAACTATATTTAAATCTTATATTTAAATTCTCGTGTCACAGTTTTCGTTCCCATACTCCTCCGAAACGGCTTGACCGATTCTCATGAAATTTTGTGAGCGTATTGAGTAGGTCTGAGAATCGGCTAACATCTATTTTTCATCCCACAAAATTTTAGGGGTAGTCCACCCCTATTTTTTTTTTATTTTAAGGCAAAACAACGTTTGCCGGGACAGCTAGTATGTATATAAGAAGGTATCATAAAGATATCACATTATGCATACAGGTATACAGAACTCATAAACTAAATCAATTTAGTAAATACGAGTATATTTACAACATTGTGTTACAATAAATCATAACCAGTTTTTTGAACAGAAAATCAGTTATTCAAATAAACTTAATTTTAGCACTTTTGAATATATTTAATGTGTTATTTTGCGGAACTTCACTACTCGATGGATTTATATATATTTTTATTAATAATCAACTTTTTTTTTAATCTACCGCTCATTCGGAAAGCTGTCTCATCACAAGAAGAACGAGCAAGAAACTTGTGTGTTGCTCTTTTAAACAATCCTTGTAAGTTCACATTTTACAAGTCGAAACGTGTGAATACAAACTACCAACCTGGTGCACTCGCCTGTGCTAATGGTTTACGCTGGCGGGGTACTAGTGGAGGATGATAAGATGAGCATGAGGCAGGTCAGTTAGTCCATCGTGACAAATTCATGGTGGTTTCCAGGAGAAACCGCGTGGAGGTCAAACTGCCATAGTACATTGTTAGTAATGAAATCATCAAGCCACGTTACTAACAACAACAACTTCCGGCTAATCTCTGAAATGGCTGGACCGATTCTGACGGGACCTTTTTGGTCGGTAGCTGATGTAATAAAGAGTAACTTAGGCTGCTTTTATTTTAGAAAAATAAAGTTAAATTCCGGACGAAGTCGCGGGAACAGCTTATTTCAAATAATATACGAAAAATACAAACCATAAAGATTAATTTGAAGTTTTAAAGCGATACAACTTGTCTCTGGATCGGTCACACAATTAGTCCGATCTTGACAAATTGACAAGTTCAGTTCAGTTATGTTAGCCGGGTCGACTCGATAAACTGATAAGAAACTCGCCTATAACTCTAACTAAATATCTATTCGGAGAGGTCTTACGTAAAATTTATGCCGAAAACTTTTGAGGATTGATACAAAAGAATATTATTTCAGTGTAGCGGCAGTATGCTATTCATAAGCATTTATTTTTATTATCATCTGTGTAGTTTATTGTCTTAAATTGGTATCCAAGAGAACAAAACGACGACAGGAATAGAGGTGGGAGGATGACATAGAGGCAGTGGCTGCACCAACATGGAGAAGAATAGGATATATAGGATACCAAAAGATATACTGGAATTATCCTTAAATAAATTCAAAACATCTGTTAAATGATATTTACTGAGCAAAGCCTATTACTCACTAAACGATTATGTATGTATGTTATAATGTATATATATAGGTGTCTATGTTTAACATTAAATGAAATTAATCACGTCCATGAACAACTATTGCCATGCACGCTCGTCATTCAAGTAATCGTTTAGTGAGTAATAAATAAGCTTTGCTCAGTAAATATGATTTAACAGATGTTTTGAATTTATTTACGGGTAATTCCAGTATATCCTTTGGTATCTTATTATAAATTTTTATACATATTCCCATAAGAGACCTATAGACTTTTTCTAAACGATACTTGTAGACAGCAAGTTTGTTTTTAAATGTATGTAGTTGTTACTGGAGCAGGAACACAACTACTATTTTAATAAAAACCAAATACTTGTAAAAATGTGTATTCTTCCCAATTTGAATAAAGATTATTTCTATTTCTATTTCATCAAATTTTATTAACATCCTTTCAGCTGTTTAGTCATGAAAACGTAACAACATAAAGACAACCAGACATATTTTCGAATTTCCAATGTTTTACTATTTAAATAAAGAATCAAATTTGTAACCCCGAGTAAATTTGCAGGGAATTTCGTAACAAATAGTTATAGACCCTTACGCCGCCACTAATGAATTTCAAATGACCTTGTTCGGTCCAATACAATTTGTTATTCCTGATTGCTCATTGAGGATATTGGCTTCAAGTTGGTGCGCAGTGAAGAAGAGGCCGCGGGCGGTTGAGACAAGAGTTATGAGGGCAGAGAAGAATCAGAAGAAGATTCAGTGACTAGTGTGTTTTAAAATCACTAGTATCCTGACGACTTAGGCGTAATGCCGGTTAGTCAGGGAGAGAAACACCTCAATGCCTACAATATTCACAATTACCTATCTCTTATTTGTTTTTATAATAATAT